AATGCAATGGTTAACATTAGATTATTTTGCTTGACCCACCTACAAATTATATCTATTAAATTGGTGACACTCGATTTTACTTTTGTGGAACACTGGTGTTCATTGAAATATTAATTGGTATTACCAGAAAGAGGATTTTCTTAGTCAAACAGGTACTGAAAAAGCTAAACAAATTTCCTAGCCACATAATTTTTCAGATTCTCTAATTTGGTCATTTCCACTGTGATTCTCGATTTATACATTACCTTTTAAGTTTAGCCGAAGTTCACTTTAAGATTTCATGGTTTGATGGAAAGAGTTCTAGTTTTATATCTCTGTCAGTTGTTGGCTTTGCAACATGAGACAAATGCTAATCCTCAATTTCTCCATAGTAAAATTATTTTAAAAGATTTTGTAGGTTTGTTGTAAGGAGTAAAAGAATTATGTAATGTGCCTAGAACTCATTAGATGGAACCTATCATCTTCTTCCTTATTTTAAATAAAACACAAAATTACAAGTTATGCCACACTGACTTCCATTCAGCATCTCACGATAGGTTAGTTCACCATAAAACAGTGCCAGGACACAAAGTTTCTGGTGCCATAAGCCTAATCTCTCCTTGAATGTGATTTTTTCATTACAGACTTCTCTGGAGGTCTGCAAGTTTAGTCCAACCGTTATATGCTACCATCTTCATGGTAGGGACTAGTTCCAAAAGGTATCAATCTGTCACAGAGGCCAAATGCATCTGTTTACATATCTCACTCCAACCAAATGACTCCTTGGCTCTCTAAAAGTCAACTGTAGTTTGAATTTTATTCTGAGAAGAGCACTACCATAAGATCGGTGGGCCCTGAGTCTGTTCCCTGCATTGGGGTGGGTAGCCAAGAGTTAATTACCTTTAAAATTAAATGGTATCCCTTTAAATTTAAAATGAATTAGACCATGGTGGTTCCCTTGGCCCAAGGATAAATGCCATGGAAATTAAAGAAGTAGTTGTGATGTCATGAAACAGCAAAGGTCAGATAGGACGAGATGATTACTCTCATCATTATGAACATTACTTTGCATTTAGATAGCTCCTCTCCTTTGCCAGACTCATTCTCATTCTATCCCTTTGCTTAGTGTCTGAGCAGCTTGTGGAGCTCCTGATGACATCTAGGGCAATCCTGATGTGGAAAAGAAGCCATAAGTCAAGAGGGCAGTGAGCAATTACCCTTTAGGCTTTCTTTGCTCACTCTGTTCCACTTTTGCAAACAACCTACAAAAATAGGCTTACTTGAAAATAATTCCCATATAAACTTAAAGCCTATCCTGGAAATTCTGATTTATCTGGATTTTAGATTTTTTAAATAACAACAATGTGTGTGTGTGGTAGGGGATACATTTGGAAAGTTTAGATATTTGTTGTCTAAGCCAGACCATACTAAAAGTGCTAACAAGAGGAAGGGAAAACATAAAAGAAAGAGGCTTAATTCTCCCTGTTGATAACAAGGAAAAAAGATGCCTCCTCCCCCAAAACCTGTAAGTACTTATTCTTTTCCTTAAAATGTATGTAAATCTTTTTGAAAACTAGATGGGCCTTTTGTTTGTTTTATGACCCAGGAATCTTTCTTGAGCACCTGGGAACTATCACATGGAAATGTAAACATCAAGGAAGTTAGTTCTCCTATCTCACAGTTTCTGTGGGAAAGTGGGAGCCTAACATCAGTGGGAGCCTTACTCCAAATAGTAAAAGTAGTTCCTTTCATAAACATGGGAGTTCATTTTTCCTCTGGATAAAGCCAAAAAGGTAACACAAATGGTCACCCCAATTAGCAGGTAAATTAAGGATGAACTCTACTTTACAAATGGTACTGTCAGTCCTCTTACTTGGGGACTTGTTATTTTCCTCTGGATAATGTTATGTAATGGGTTGCATCTGCTTGGCCGTGTAGGAGTGAGAACTCTTTCTGTCTTTGCAATCCCTTACTAGATTGCTTATGATGAACATGGTATTCTGGTTGAATGTTTATTCAATGATAAAAGTGTTTTCACCTCTATTATCTTTGTGAGAGGATTTCTGGAGTGGGAGAAAATATTGTTTTTAATTATATTTGTCCAACACATAACTGTGCTTTTAATTGGAATAATGAACTTAAGAAAATAATAGAATATACAATGCCAGTTGTTCTTAACCAAAAATATATATTAGGCTCATCTTCAGGGTTAATATACAGATTCCCAGTGCCACATTCAGAGATTCAGATACTACCCTTTGGGAATAAAGCAATAGAGTAAACACTTTGGGGGTAAAACACCTTTAACAACCATCCCAGATTATTTTGATGCAGGTGGTCAGTGGTTGTCATTGTAAATGGATGTTGTCACATAATTTTTTAAGTTTACCATATGAAAAATACTTCCTTCTGCTATCCTAGTCACTTTCTGGCTCATGTGTAAGTATATAACTACAACATTAGCTAGATTCTCTCTGCTGAGCATGTTGGCCTTGTCATCCATGAAAGGGTGAGCCTTGACACCCTTCCCAGGCCCCAGCCAGCCCTCTGGCCCCTCCATCTCCTGAGGTCCTCTGCCTTGCACTTCATGGAGGAGATGATCATAATTAGCACCTCTCAACTTCTCTGCCTGTGTGTTCTCTCTTCTCTTTCTAAATCAAAGGAAGAGCTACCACTTCTCCAACGTCACCTGCTCCATCTTATCTTTGATCTCATCCATACTGTCTTTCTTCATTACATCAATTTTTTTTAGTATTCTCAGGCTCTGAAGGCTTTCCCTTTATTCAGGAATAATCATTTGTCACTAGTGCTCTAATCCAAAAATCCAAAAACTATCTTTTCTCACTTAAATCATTGGCTCAGGATACTCCTCTCTTTCCTTCCCCACCAGAGTTATGGTAGTCTGTTTTCACACTTTCCCTTTTCCTCTCCCCATTCATTACATAGTCACCACACGGGGGTTCAACTTCCACCCGGCCCTCTTTGGTTTCAACCTCTCTCCTCAGACATAAGTCTGTATGTCCTACCACTGGATAGAGGCTGCCACTCAAGTTCTAGAAGCCTCTCAAACTCCTTATTTCTGAACCCAAACTTCCTTTCTCAAATATGCATGTGTCTTATACTTTCGGTGTCAGCTAACAGTATCAATACCCAGTTACCCAGGTTCAAAAACATCCTCCAAAATGTCATCGTCATCTTCTTGCTCACCTCCCACATCAAATTGGTCCTTAGGGTCTGCTAAGTCCCCCACAAAAACATCTCATTGACTGCCTCCTTCTGCCGACCCCTTTGCCCCTGCCATCGTATTTCTGTCTGCCCTAGTCTCCTCTAACATGAATCTCTCTTTTACACCTCCCCCAGTGTCTGCTTTCTGAAACAAAATGTGATCACATCAAGCCCTTAAAAAGATTATGTTTAGATAGGTTCATGTTCTTCATTGCCTACAAAATGAAGGCAAAGTGCTTTAATCACACAAAAAATGCACAGAGCCTTCTTGCAAAAACAATTGCACCCAAATTTACTCAAACCCCCAGCCCTGGAGAGCTTATAGGATGTACAGAGAAAAAGGAAATGTGTTAAATGACACGTCAGAGCCACAGGCAACCAGATCCAGAGAGGCAGAATTCTATAAAACAAATGAGCAAGTTACTTGAAGAGATAAATAGCATTAAATGAACAAAACGGACAGGGAGGAACTGTTATAAATTAAAATAGACATATATCAACAAATGTACCATGTGAATGCTCTGTAGGCAAGTTGGCTAAATATTAGATGATCTATTTAGGAATTACTGTCAAGTTTACTAGATGCACACATGAAATGCAATGATTCTTTTAAGTTCTTTTTCTATTAGTTATACATTCTGAAGTATGAATAATGAATTTATTTAACTATTCCAGAGAAGAGAGTGGTAAGAGAGACAGAACATTAATGTGTTGATAATTGATGATGTTGGATGATCAATATAAGTGCTTTTTCTAGTAATATCTACTTTTCTATCTTTGAAATTTTCCATAAAAAATTTGTATAAAAACCTTTATTTGTGCTATTCAAAACCAAAAACAACTTAGCCTAGAATACCTTTCTAGGTTTACCTTCCAACCTGACCTCCACATTTTATTTAACCTACCAAGTGCTTGCACACTGCGTCTAGGCTCATGAAGACACAGTCCTATACACTTTGGTCTTTATTCTGGAGCAAGCCAGATTACTTCTTCTCACATAAACTAGAAATCTCACATCAACTACATAACCACCTGCTGACTCCTCCCTGCACGTGTGCTATTGCTCTGGCATACTCTGAACATAGCGGTACAAGCAAATTTGGAGAATGTAAAACATAAAAGTATTTCAGTTTTCATGGAAGTCTTGGAAAAGTGATTTCAGATGGTCTAATCTTTCTTTGTCAATGTTGAACAACAGCAGCTCTATAAATTTAGCTGATATAAAAATGACAAATACTTAAATGAAATGTTGATTTACTACTCACTGAGTGCACATTTTAGGAACCTGTGGGACATGGCCATCAATTTGGCCCAAACCTCCTATCTGTCACAGTGTTGATGCACTTCTGTGAGATGATATCTGAAGCTGGCCTGTGCACTTGGGTGACAACCAACATTTCATTAAAATAATATGTTGTGAGGAATGCATAATATTTCACATTTTCTTAAGTATTATTCCTAAGTAAATCTATTAGCATATAAAGGAAGTTTTGAAAGTACGAATTAACTTAGGAGGAACAAAAAGGCATCAATTAGGCAAATTTTGAATGAAATTAGCTGGACAATATTTTTCACATCTGTGAGCAGCCATTATAATAATATTAACTACGATGGACACTTTGTATGTTAATGTGGATATAAATTACAACTCCAGAAAAATGTGTTTTGTCATTTGCCATTTGTTAATATCCACTTAGGGATATCACCTCCTTTTCCGTGTGTACTTAAATGCTTTATTATTCAAACATAATCAGTCTTTCCAGATACAATTAGAGAAAAGATTAGATTCAACGTACCAGGAAATCTACTGTGGAGGTTAGCATCACAGTTGTAGCCATTGAACTGAGCAGACCCCAGAAGCACTCTAATTGTCAGGAGCAACAGCAGCCATATCCGTTCCATTGCAAAACCTAGAAAAGAGTTACTCATCAATGAAGACATCACCAGCCTTCACTCTTGCTGGAAAGGCTGAGGCTGATCTCAACTCACTACTGGATAGGCAGGCAGTACACTTCGATGCATGCAAAGTCATCAAAGGCCTAAGGATGATCAGAAATAATTATCAGCAAAATATCTGCCTACTGGGAATTAATGGGACTCATCATGATATTTTGGTTATAATATTTCAAAATTACTTTCATTCTTTGGCTTCTGTTTGCTAAGTGTGACAAACCCAGGCTTTCATAATGGAAGAGCTAAGATACAAAGTTTGCAAAAGAAAAAGTATTATAAATAGGAAGGACTCAAACCAAGTATTTGGCAGATTTAAACAGAATAGCTAGGCAGACTGACCAATTTGGAGACAAGCCTACACTTTAACTGTATGCATAAATCAGAAGGATTTAACAATCAATGCTTAATTCTCAGAGAATTCTCAATACTCTTTCTTTTAATTGAAGTAAAGCTGACTCACAATATTACATGAGTTTCAGTGTACCACATAGTAATTTGACATTTATATACATGACGATTTCTCAATATTCTTAATGACTAAATAATTTCAGGAAAAATTCCCCCTTAAAAAGTAATTCCAGACTACTGTTACTTCTCAGAAATCAATGGTTGTGTATCATTTTCTCAGGAAACACAGACATAAAGCAAAGGGGAGAACAGTAAAATACTATCTATGGACTGACATCTGGTTCTCCCAGGGACTGCTCTTCGGTGGTAACACAGATGCTCAAACATATAAAAACCTTGAATTTTTAGTAGAAGGTATGGAAGGAGATATTTTTAAGTTGTCAATGTGTGTTGAACAAATAAATATAAATTGACTCTGATACTTAAACACCAGTCTGGTAATTTTTTCCCTAAATGCCCTTTCATTGCCCTGAGAAAGTTAAAATATTTTCCAGAAATACCCAACTTATTCTCAGAGCATACTTTTTACATGGAAAAAAAAATCTTTTGGTGTTGGTGGTTTTGGTCTGTGCATAAAAAGCAAAAAGAAAATAAAATTGTAAATAGTTGACTCAAATAATTTAGTGCATTTTAAAAGCTTGGGGTTTTGAGGGGGGAGCAGAACTGGTGTTTTAGCTCTCCTTAAAGATCTGCCCTTAGATGATTAATCAAGTCTTTAGCAAAAGGAAGGAAATACATCTTGCTTTTGAATCATCATTTTAGTGTAACAAGTTTATGGTAAACAAAGTTACTTTGGTGAGGATGTGGGAAAGGAAGGCATGGGTTTTCTCTCAAAAATAGACTGAAAAAAATGTGAACTGGACAGGAGCTAACTTCTCTCGTCATTATAACATGCCACACAGACACAAACCCAATGACTTTTGGGAGAACAGCCACACATCTGGTTACTTCTAATCCCCAAGATGGTCCAGATACAAAAAGCTCATATAAAGGGCTGATCCAGACCCAGGGATCTCTCGGCCACACCTTTGTCTGCACTGTCTAGCTCCTCAAGACACTTCAAATAGACTAACCTAGCCTTGTCTAGCAGTCTTTGGAAGACCACCAGTAAAGAGAGCCCCCTGTTTCTCAGAAGTATCCCAGTACACACACTGCTATGATATGCATTGCCACTCCCTTCCCTTGATGAGTCCCATTAATTCCCAAAAAGCAATGCTGACTCTAGACCCACACTGTTGTCCTCCATCTAGAAATGCCTCCCACCCCAGGGATGCACAGAGTCACCAACAGAAATTGGTGAGCTATTTTTATTATTCTAAAATGCTTTCTATCTTTTAAATTCTCTCACAGAAGAAAATACTTATTGAGTGGACACTGTGCACAAAGAGGTCACTGGGTGCCAGATCATTTACCTACAGTGTCACCTTCATGTTCCTTATAATAATTGGATGAGACTGAAATTATTGTGCCCTGTACAGAGAGAAAAAATTAATTCTCAAAAAGCTTAAGTGATGTCACATTAAAATCAAGTGGAGAAACTAGAATTCAACTCCAGGTCTTCCTCATAACAGTGTGCTGCACAATCCTAATATTACCTGTTAAATTCAGTGTTATTTTGGTTGCTATTTACCATTGGTTGTTTTCTTTAGTTTTTTAAATTGTGTACCCGTTAAGAGATCTTGTCATCTGAAAATGGGTAAGCAAATTCTTAGGTAGTGACTGCAATTTGCTTAATAGATGTATTTATAACACAGGCATTATGAGGGACAAAATTATCTTTTAAAAAGGCCCTCATTGTGAAAACAGAACTATTGCTATGGACTAAACCGGACACATCTAGGTTGACCAGCAATGGATAAGAAACTCAAGCTATATTAAACAGCCTACTAATAGTGGTAGTAAAGTCTTAGCTTTACAACTTGAAATCAGATCTGAGATTGTCCAAGCACTGCATGTCTCTTTCCTTTATACTTTAAACAGGACCTACAGAGTTGTCATGGAGATTAAAACCCTTAATAAATATTTTTTGATGAAAAGAAGGTAGAGGTAGAAGGCAGCTTGCTTTAACAGAAAATACATTGATTTTGATATTAGCAAATATGGATTCAAATCCCCACAGCCATTCACTAGATTTGCCATTTCAAAATCAAGATGATGCTCATAAGACTTTATAAGTGCCTAAAGAACATAACATACTCTGTATGTACAGAATGCCCTGAAATATTAGTGTCAGGGCTACGGCCCATTGATTTGCACATTGTGCCCTGTGCAAGGGCATTCGGGGGAGAGAGAGAGTGATGGGGAGAGATGGTGGCAGGGAGAGAGCCTGTGTTCCTTTGGCTGAGCCGCATGTTCTGGAACTAAATTCCTCAACACAAAATTGTCTAATAACAGCCCTGATTAGTTTTATTGCATTATTACATTTATAACGTCATTTGTACTGGTCTGTTTTAATATTAAGGTATATTAGGTAGGGAACTTCTAAAGGACAGCCACATCTCTCACAAAGGTAGTATCCACAATTTGATCCCTATGCTACTGGCAATGCTTTAGGGGGCCAGACTTTAGAGGGCCCTTTTTATCCCACCTACAAATTAAAACAAAATGGTGAACTATTAACTTGCAAACTTCCCATCCTTAATCCTATCTCAATTATTTCCTCTGCACATAGAAAACCTGAGCATCAACTCACAGAAGCAAGTTTGGTGATTTCTGTGGTCCACTCTGGAATAACCTGAGGTGCTTGCTGTCCCGTTGTGGCTCCAGAAAACTCTAATTAGAGAATTTGAGCAGAGGTATTTCCCATCTTCTCCACCATAACTAAGTCAGCAACCGATAGCCCTACTTTGGTGCTAGCAATGACATACAAGACTGCCTACCACAGCCATCATTATAAAACACCAATAACAAAGTCTCAGACAGTAATGACCTTAAAGATAGGTATGCACAAGGTTTTGTACATGTTTAACTTAGTATTTCCATGAATATAAGTTAATGGAGATATGGGGAACAGAGAAGGACTGAATTTAAGGAATTCAGAAGTGTTAAATTTAGACAGACTACCACATCTCCTAAGCTGATACTAACAGGCTCTGTATTTTATACTTAGCCATATAAAGGAAGTCATATCTAAGTGACTTGCTGTCAAGTATGTCAATATTTCTATTAAATTTTCTTTTCTAAATTATAATTTCTTCCACAATTAAGAATTTCTAATTTATTTGCTTAAGATTGAACTTGAGTTAAACAAATATAATTTTACTCTCAAAATTCTTACTCAGTTTTATTTAAATTGATATAGTTCTGCAACTAACACTGTTCTTTAATCTTATATATTTGATCATCTTTTATTGACCTTTTTATTGAGATCTGTTGTGTGCCAGGCACTGAGCTATGTTTAATGTTCAACTATTAACATAGATTTAATTTTTCCCATGTTACAAATGCAGAAACTGAAGCCTGAGGTTTTTAATTGATTTGCCCAGGGTCACAGACCTAGTAAATGGCACAGCAGAATTCAAAACCAAGTGTGACCTTTGGAATTATTACACTACTCTGTTAGACTTAATTGGAGTTTGTCAAACAAATAAAATGAATATCCTACTAATTTTCAGAAAGTAAATTATATTAATAATGTGTACTTAAAATGTGCTTTGAACTAAATGATTCAGATAAATCAGGCAAAATATTTTTAGTATCTACATAATTGTCATTCACGACCATTTCACTTTAGCAGTGAATGCATAAGGATATTACTCTTTTCACAAATTGATTTAATGATAGTACAGTGAGTTTTCAGAGCTGACTGTGTACCAGCTTTTTTTTAAGCACTACATATATAATTTCTAATCATGAGAAAAGTAGTTTATTCTCCTTATTCTGGGGATGAGAAAACTGAGGCACAGAAATGTAAAGTAACTTGCTCAAGGTGAAACAGATGACCCGTGTTAGAATCAAGATTCAATGCACAATGACCCCAGAAACCACCCTCAGCTATAATGTGGCACTGCCTTCCAGAAAACAATCCTTAAACACTAAGCCAAATGGAAAAAAGGCAATTACTTGGTAAATTTGATCAATATGGATTTATTCCTGCTTTCATTTATCAAATGCTTTCATGTGCCTTGTAGCATCCAGGGGAGCTGAGGTACCGCAATTAGAAAAATGTTGATGTGCATAGAGCTCACATTCTAGTGAAGGAAGTCAGAAGGAAACAATATCTAGAAGTAAAAGACTGAGTATATTTGTGATAAGTACTATGGAGAAAAACAGAGCAAAAAGAATTGATCAGGAGTTCTGGGGGGGATGGGAGAGTACTGAAATTTTAAACAGGGTGGTCGGGGAGGGCTATATAACCAATACATACAAATGAAGCTTGGGGGGAAAAACTGCTTCAGTTATGAACTGCAGATCTACCTGTTTTTACCTTGTAATTTTTTTGTTTTGCTACTTAGGTATTTCCCAAATAAAACAGACCTTTAGTGCATAAATTATTTATTCTCTGGGAGTAACTTGAACACTTTGAACGGCTATATTAACCTTTTATAAT